ATCCAGTTGAGTTCTAAAATATATACCTTATTGAATGGTTTAATTTTACTTGTCTAGTTTCTAAAACGTGTATAATTCAATATGATAACTCGAAACGTAGCAATAAGTTTCGAACAATTAAAATTAAATAGCGAAAACTTAAGAGATTTAGACTTGTTTTATCAATTGTCAGATTAATTATATTTTGATACACATTGTGGATCACAATCACGATAACTTACTGAAAAAACTATCCTTTAAATTTATTCACGGTTTGGCTGATGTTATTGGAAATTTTCAGTTGTAACTACTGTGTATGAACAGTATGTGCCTTGAAAGCTACCATCTATATAGATTTATAAATTTATAGGATACATTTACTTATTTTATTTTTTCTGGTTAGCATGTTTTAGGATGGTTGTTTTTTACGGGATGGGGTTGCTGACCCCGTACCTAACCATCCGGGCTTGTGATCAGCAGTAGCCCCAGAAAAGCTAAAGGTGGAGCTAGAATACATTTACATCTAAAAAGTAGTCAAAGCGTAATCCCCATCACTTTAAGTATACGTCAATAGTCAAAAAATTATTGCGGTGAATATTTCATATAAGTATCTGTTACTTGTAATGAATTCCATTTATTTGTATCCTTTACCTCTGTTGGTTTGTCTAAAGAAGAATTTTTGAAATAAAATTAAGTCATGAGATGTGCGATTCAGATGAAAAACCTTTCAAAGAGAAGTACTGATAAACTTATTACTTGCATGATAACATTTCATCCTGTTTAATTTCTCCACGAACATCGATTTTCGTTTCTGTGAAAAAAGATTGGATTCTTTTAGGTTTGTTGAAGCATCAATTTGCTATTCTTCCACCGTATTTCTAATGTAACACAAACGAAAAATGAATGCTAAATTACTATTATGCACTGAGTTTACTAATTCTTCTACTTAACAGTAGATATCCTCTTCCGAACTAATTGGAAAATAAAGTTGTCTACTTTCACTGTTCACTGCAATCATCATGAAATATGACTGTAAATTTCAATTTGCTTTAACATAAAAATACAATGAGATGTGTAGAAATGTGATGCTGTTTAAGTGTATATCGACATTCAACAGAATTAAATTATCGATTATGAAATCAATTTAGAAACAGACATAAGTGGCAATATGTTTAGAAGTTAAAGTATTCCTGTATCTGATTTGAGAACCGTGTAAGTGGTTGGTATTATCAACTAATTTCACCTTTAACCAATTTCGCTTATCTAAGCTGGTTGCGACATGACGGTTTAACCGATCATAGGGATTTTCGAATTGAGCATCTATCAATAGATCAGAAATCTTGACATGTGCAATGGAGTAATTAAATCCATGAGATAATGCTTCTCTCTCAAATAATCAACAATTAACTTGTCTATGTGTGGACACATAGACATACAGAGGAAGAACAACGGAGCCATACAATCAAGCATTATTTAACATGTGCCTAGATGGCTTCAAGACCACTTAATGCCAAATGGTCCGATCAACAATCGAGGTAGAAAATCATGTTTATCGATAGTGAAACATATAATTGAAACGCGGCACAAAATTGACAATAGTACAGCTTTAGAACGTTGTATAGTAATTGTCAAGGATGAATTCTCAGATTTATTGAAGCCTTGGTTATTCGTAAATTCAAACCTACTTTATGCGTAGAGGAACAATTTGTCGTAAACTTGAGATTATTTTTGTAATTCTTGAGTCATTGTATGGCTCATGATAATGCAACAAATTGTTATTGTTTCTATACTATGTAAAATGTTTCTCCCACCTTTGTTACAAGAATGAAATTGTCTATTGTGAAACAGAGTTAATCTTTGTTTTAATCCATGATAAAGATTCAAAACATTTGATTGATGCAAAGTATAATGAACAGTTGCTCGGGATCTTACTTCCAGACGTTTAACTATTTTAGAATCAACAAGTGAAAATCGAAATTTTCCTGTTATTCATGTAAACAAAACTTAGTAGTAAACACGATACCACGATTTGTGTGAAACAGTAGTTTATTTCAACATCATTAAATATCACTAAAATGTCGATGTGACCATTGAAATGAGTAATGTTTTATAATTTTATTTGTATTACATTTAGAATAAACTCTGTCTGCAACCCCTCTTGGGCTACTGCCAGTATCAAGCCCGTATAAAGAAGGAGGGTTGGGCATAGAGTTAGCAACCCCATCCTATAGAAAACTAACTCGCTAAAGAAACGTTAACCAGAAAAAAATAATTAAAACTCTGCCCTGGGTGTTAGAACGTCTTCATTTAGAAGAGTTATGACGCCTCATGGTGAAAGCCGAGTTCTCTCGGAAGTCACGAGTCCGATGCCGCTTCTGACAACCAGAGCAACCATTTGTTTAGGTACATGGAATTTTTGTATAATGTGGGAGATCAGGAGGGTCTTCCAAAATTGCTGCAGAAATAGAGATACAACTTAGCGACTACACTATGAGGAGATGAGTCATACCATAACAGTACGTTTTCAATATGTTTCGTCACTTATTTATTCGTTAAGACCTACTATGTATGAGAAATGAAAGGTTGTCATAGATCGATTGGAAGATATTAAAATAAAAGATACTCGGGAAATGCTATGTGAATTACACTACAATGTATAGTAAGCCAATATTACTGTTATGTGATTTGCAGATGTGAAGGCGCGAATCGGCAAAACAAGAGAAGCATATTTACAACTGAAGAACATCTGGAACTCAAAACAATCGTCAACAAACAGAAAAGTCAGAATTTTTTAATACAAATGTCAAAACAGTTCTACTGTGTGGGGAGGAAACTTGGAGAACTACGAAAGCCATCATCCAGAAGATACAAGTGTTTATTAACAGTTGTCCAAGCAAAATACTTCGGATCCGTTGACCAGACACCATCAGCAACAACCTACTATTGGAGAGAACAAATCAAATCACAGCAGAGGAAGAAATCAGAAGGAAGCTCTGGAAGTGGATAGGACGCAAACTGAGAAAAGCACACAACTGCGTTACAATGTAAGCCCTGAAATGGAATCCTGTAGGCCGAAAGAGAAGAGGAAGACCAAAGAACATATTAGGTCGATAAATAGAGGTAGACATGAGAAAGATGAGCAAAAATTGGACAGAACTGGAAAGGAAGGCCCCGGACAAAGTGGGTTGGAGAATGCTGTTCGGTGGCTTATGCTCCATTGAGAGTAACGGGCGTAAGTAAATGATTTGCATAGTTTTGTTTTTCTAAAATATTTATTCTTTATTCATCCAATCTGCCTATTTTGGATTTTATTTTCCATAAATAAATCACTTAGCAAGTGAATTTGAGAACAGATTGTTCAAAACGTATTTCTTAACAGGTCACGTAGTTCTGAAATACTTCGTATTGCATTATCTAGATTGAAGCGAAGTTCTCAAAACATCTAGTAATTAATTACTTCTGACAGAAAATACTTCGTTTGATTCCATCTAGACCACAATGCGTAGTAGCGTGAAAATATAGTTACTTTGGAAAGAGATGACAAAACGATATCACTAAAACTATTAAATATTTTATGTATTTTTAGTGGGACCATATATTTAGACGTCAGTTAAATCGGACGATATTGTCGATAGGCTCACCACTTTTGTGGCCTTATATCTGACTCCAGTTCAATCGTTTCTGATTCCTATTGAAATGTACATATCGTCAATCCTCGTATAGAATTATTGACTTAGATAGTGTTATTGAATAACGGAATTAAATAAGCCAAATACGCGAATGGATTTTCGAATACATATATTTTATACACTCATTGATCTGGAAAGGCAATCAGAGGAGTGAAACGAAGGAAGCGAAGAGAAGAAAGCGAAGCGAAATGACGCGCAATGAAGAAAGTGTGTGTGCCAACTCGATTTAATCAAACGTTAATCAATATGTACAGCCAGATAAAAATAATTTACAGACATGTGTTGAATAGGATAAGTAGTGTTCACGCACATAAAAGGGTTAATAAGTAAATAATTAACAAGGTTAAAGTATGACTCTAGAAGAATGGATAAATTGACCTGTCTGGAAGCTAGGATAAGGTATATAAGCTTAATATAGCAGCCGACACTACATATTCCTCAGTTAAAATATACATAGAAACATTATGATCTTAATTACATTATTCAATAAGTAAAGCAACTTTTCAGTTTTCCAAAGTATTTAACACATATTTAGCAGGATCTGGTGTTACATTAAAAACCAGCAGATAACTTTTAAACAACTGAACATTTTGAAAGTTTCAGTTAAAAATCATCCTTGATTAAGTGATATGACGGGATGAAAAGTTCAAATTACATTTTTTTACTTATTATGATTTTCTATTCAATTCAGTGTAATATTTGTTTCTGTTTTCCAGTGTGATATTTCATTCTATATAACATACAATATTCTTGTATTCAATTGACATGAACTCTATTCAGCATGATATGTAGCATGTGATTTGTTATAACCCTAAGTCATTTCATTCTAATTATTAATCAAAATGAGTGGATTTCAACTATATCTGATGACATTGTTTTTCCAAAAGAAAAAAAACAAAAAAAAAGCCAACAAACAAATGAAAAATTGGTTTTAGTCAATTCCTATGCGCACTGCTGAGGAGTCCCATACTAGGACGAAACGGCCATCCAGTGCTTCCAGGTTTTTCCATGGTGGTCTAACTTCAATTGACTCATGATTTCAACCTGTGAAATTTCCTAAATTCTCCACAAAAACTCATTCTAATTCCTATTTTAGCCTAAAATGAAACTATCAGGAAGACATTGAACAATATTAGGGCACTTCAATGTTTTATCACTTCAATAACATGAATTGTTTTTAGTATAATAATTTGTTATATTAAAAGGAATTATAATTAATTTACTTATTTTATTAACCAATCAGATATTTAGTGTAGTTCACTCTTAAAAAGTGATTGGTTAATTTACTTTTTATCATTAAATATTTAATGTTAAATTACTTGATTTAATGTTACTTACAATAATATTGGGTATTGCAAGAATCTTAATTAATCCAATCTATGTAAGTTCTATTAAATAAAAATGTTGATATTTTACATAGACTATTAAATTAATGGTATATTGGGTTAAAATTAAAGTGTTTAGCTTTCTAAATACACTTGATAAACTAGTTCCTTTAAGATCTTTATTTAACTTTATGAATGATAAAAGATGTTAAAAAGTTAGTGAATACTCAATTCATATAAAACAGTCAATTATTCAGAGTTCTTTGATAAAAGCCATTAACTTTTATATATTATACTATGAATAGTTGCCTAAATAACATGAATGGATGGAAGTATTTACCTGTAAAATTAAGTACTATTCAAAGTATAGCATTTAATCTAACTCGTAGTGAATAAAATTCCGTCTTCAAATTTTATTCTTTCCCATTTTTCGACTGGTTTTGTATTAGAGTTCATAATTTATTAATTCAATTGTGTTACACTGTTCTGTCATGACATATAATTTGTTATCAATTTAGTCATCAGTATTGGGTTGTGGAGATCATTAAGCTCCTGACTGAAATTATGAACTGACTGATATAAGACCACCATTGAAAACCTGGAAGAACTGGACGCTGCTCCGTCCCCTTATGGGACTTCTCAGCAGTGCAAATCCACGATCCCGTTTGTGGAATTCGAACCCAGGACCTTCGATCTCACTCGCGAACTCTTAACATCTAAACCACTGGGCCGGCTTCCGTTGATGTCGATGTCTAACGTCAACCAATCCACGAAATTGTGCGATCATCTCCCATTTTACTGAAGTAGATGACTGTCTCTACCCGACACGGAGTTCTAGTGAGAAACCGTAACCAAAATTGTCATGGAGTATGTGAATAAAATTCTTAGTTCTACATTCTTGATCTACTAGATAAAGTTAGCTGATGACTTAGTAAAATAAGCTCTTGTGGCATGAAGAAGTAAGTTGGTTGTTTCATCGTAATATCAGAATAATACACCAGGATATTTGCCAGTTTACTGAAATCAATTATCATTTGTTTTGTTTATTCATAACAGAATTCAACCAAACTAATAAAATGTAGTCAGGCTCTAAGAAGCAAACATTGTTGGTTCATTATTTTTGGTTAAGGATGTTATTCACCTCTTTATTGATCAAATGAAATGTGTTTGTCATGTGATTCAAGTACATATGTGATAGTCTTGTTTACCTCTCTTGTTTAAATTCAGTTAGATACATGAGTAAAAATATTAGCCACTTTAAATGGTACTTGCGCTATACTGCCTGATATATTTTATGTACTGGAAGAAGATTCAAGTTGAGTTGTTTAAAATTATCCTACTGGTTGCAGTAATTGAAGATCTGTGATATGATTTTCTCTAAGGTCATCGATTTGCATAGATAAGAACTGTGTAAAACTTAATAAACCTACCCTAACCTTGACACTTCTTCTGTTCATTATGACTATGAAACTGGTAGCCATCCTAATTATCAGACAGAAGGGAGTCTTATCAAAACAAAATTTAACCGCCCAACCCTTTGAGAATATTTAATGTCTGAATTAATTATTTCTATTCATCGGAGCGTTTCTATCGTTATAATCTTAGTAGAGGACAGAATAAATTTGGTTGAAGATTGTCATCCAAGCTTTAAGACTATTGTACAAGTTATATTACATATATTGTAGCCGTGTGAACTTTCTGGTGAATATAAATATGTTATTTCATTTTTATCATCATGACCTATCAAACAATAAGCTCCAACAAGTAAGGTAAAAGAAATCTTAGCCATCGACTGACAAAAGCCGAGCCAGATCACAAAGAGCAGTAATATTTCTGAGATTTAAAAGTGATTTGATGATTTATTAGGGTCTTTGGAAGGTTATAAAATACTCAGTACAAAATACATATGACTGAAAGTATTCACACATTGTATAGGTTGACGTTGGTTTACAACAAGATAATTATAGAAAACCGACGATTATTAAATGAACGTTTCTTTCCAATTTGTAGATCTCCAACAGCTTGAACTTACAATCTCATGACGTTCTAGTCTCACGGCTAATGTGGTATTTAAATACTGCTTCATTGAAATATAGTGTTTCATATTTCTAGCTTTGTTCTAATCACAGCATACATCGACTAGCACTCAATATCAATAAAGACACCTGTTCTCATCTTTCTATGAAACTGTTAGTTTAAAACTTCAAAGGTTTGATTAACATAATTTTAGATGATAGATGATGGTCAACTGAATATATTTGATAAACAATTAAGTATCTCGATAAACAGAAATTTGTAATACATTATATTAATTAGAGAATTTAGAAATATAACACCGCTGGATGCCGGCTCAGTGCTCTTAGAGGTTAAGCGTTCGCTCTTGAAACCAAAGTCCCTTGGTTCGATGGATGCGCACTGTTGAGGAGTTCCATAATAGGACGAAACAGCCACCCAGTGCTTCCAGAGTTTCAGTGGTGGTATAACATCAATCTGTTCATAATCTCAATCAAAACCTTAATGATCTTCATAACCCTTAAGTAAGAAATATAATTAATGAATAAAATACTGGTCGCGTATTATTGAAGTTTGTATGTTACTTAAATAGATAGTTAAATCAATTTTAATCCATACTGTTACTGAAATTTGTAAATTATTATACAATAAACAAAATATAAAAAAATTATCCATTTTCCTTTCATGGTTGTTTATTTACTTACCATTTGTCCTTTATGCATTAAATAGAGTAAATGAATAATTTTTTAAATAGAATTTCGATTAAAATCTTTATTGTTGTTTTTATTCTCTTTAAACTATTCACTGGTGTACGTTGATAATTTCAAATAATACGTGATTCAATAACATTAAAAAATGAATTGATTTAAAACGTGACTAGAATTATTCATTTTGTATGGCGGACTGGTTGAATCTTTGCGTTACTTGTTCCTGTCCTTTAAATATTTCAATAAGTTATCTGAGTTTATGTTTTTTTTAATCGAATCGTGGTGGCAGGCAGGCAATATGCATTGAAAAGAATGAATATTATTCAGATGTTGATTCCTGACCTGCTAAAATTTAACTGGCGATCACTCAATCATGTGAATATAATCCATAGCAGGAGAATTCCATCTTGTCAGTCGAAGTAATCTTAGCAATAGTAATGACAATAGTAATAACAATATCGTTGTGAGAATATAATATATAATAAGAGAGATTTTATCAAGGGAATTATGATAAAAACGAATTCATATGAATCGGGGGAGATCAATGTGAAGATCAAAAACAATATAAACACAAGAAGAATTAGGTGGAAAAAGAGGTTTATAGTATCCAGTTTAGGTATCCAGTGATCCAGTCGAGGGCTATGGTAAACATAGGGGCTAGATACACCTCTTCCGAATACATAAGTTCGGTTTTCTGGAGTTGGTCCAGATGGCTTCCTCTACATAGAGTTGCCGCAATCTATAGGTAGATTCACTAAAACTTGATATAAAACAGAGAGAGCTTCCTCTGTTTTAATATGATTTTCACTATCTCCCAAGTTAGAAAGAATGGGGATGTTAATCAGTTTAGTGATTTCTTTTCCTAAACATGCTGATACATCTTTATGATCACGCAAAGATAAAGTCCGGCCTATGTAATTAGCTCTGCAGTAGCAGTTGAACTGGTATACACACATCATCAGTAGCCTATCCTTAATTTGTTGTGTAAGTACTGGTTTGATCGAAAAAATTGTATGTAAATCGGTGGTGTGAAAGGTATTTTCAACAGATCTTTTGAGTCGACGAGTTAAAATGTTACTCGCTATGTCCCCTTTAAAATCCAGTTTCAGATAAAAGGTTAGTTTACTTACCATGCCATAGTTTCTTCTTATTCATTACATTCTAATAAAAATTTTCGGAACAAGTTATCCAGATAGCCGTTATTTCGTAAAGTTTTCTTTAGCTTACCTATTTCGTTATCTACACTATCATCAGAACATAATAGTTAAATTCTGTGACTGAGACATTTAGCCCATTTTATTTTGCATTGAAGATTTGTAAAGCTACGGAAAGGGTATATTGACCTGTCCATAAATTCTTTTTAAATACATTTTTTGAAACTACCTATTCTTCTAGAAAGTAGGATATCAAATAAAGCTATACTATTATCGTTTTCCTCTTCACTGGTGATTTTAATAGCTAGGTGGACATTACTGAAACAGTTCAACAGCTCTTGTTTGTCAATACTAACTGACTAATCAAAATATGAGATGGGATTTTGGAATTTCATCAGATTTATTTCAATATAAAAGACTGAATTGTATAAAGATTCGTGGAATGTATATTATTGTTCTGTTCTTGCTAGAACACATATTACATCATACTATATTGAACCCTATTATTCAATATAAAGCAAATTACTAACATAAATTCCACAATAAATCTCATTGTGTCATATTGAAATGTAAATCAGTGACGTTGCAAAATTCAATCTCATATTCATTCACTAGTTATTTGGTTAGGAAATCAATAAAAAAACGAAGAGAAAAGTAAAAAGAAAAGAAACAACACCCGATAACTTATTCTCATTTAAGACACATATCATGATTGAAACATTGAAAATTATTTTCTTTTCTATTAAATAATCATTGTCAAATTAAATAAACAAATTGCACAAGTTTTATTTCCCAAAAAATCAAATACATCGAACAATTATTATCATTCTAAGTGCGTTTTTATTGTGTGTATTGGAAATAAATAGTTTGCATTAGTTTACATCATCTTTAATTAGACATAATAGACAACACATGACATTAGTTATGTATGCAATTTTAAGAAGAAATACATTACTGACAAAATGTTAGACATCAAATTAATGTATTTTAATTTGTTAAAAAGAAATATATTTTCATAATGAGTAGTATGTGACTTCAATTCAACTGTGAAAAAGAATGAGATTCTTCTTGTTCAAAAAAGAAAAGATGTCACGAATAGAGATAAGGTTGAACTAGTTTCACGGTTGACCAATATAAGATCGAGTTAACCTGAAATAAATACACAAGAGAAGGAAATAGAATTTATAAACTTATTTGTAGAATATCTAATAATTTATATGAAAATGATGGAATGAAATGACATGAAAAATAATTACAAACACTGATTATTGTTATACCAGAATTGAGAACCTAGAAGCAATGGACGGCCGTTTCGTCCTAGTATGGAACTCCTCAGAAGTGCACATCCACGATCCCGCCACCTCGCGGTATTACAACCCAGGGCCTTGAGTGCGAATGCTTGACCTTTAGACCACAGTTGGATGCCGACTCAATGGTCTAGTTGTTAAGCGTTCCCACGCGAGACTAAAGGCTCTGAGTTCCAATGCCACAATCGGGATCGTCGATGCGCACTGCTGAAGAGTCCCATCATAGGATGAAATGGCCGTCTAGTTCTTCCAGGTTTTCAATGGTGGTCTAACATCAATCGATTCATGATCACACTCAAAAACTTAATAATTTCCACAACCTTATACTGATAATTACAAAAAATTTAGAATATCTCTTCATATTTACTGAACATTTTAATGAATAAGTGTTTGGAATTACTGAGTGGTTTTCAAATACATCGACGTAGGACAAAGATGTACAAGTGTGTTGATGAACTGTAATTAATTATATGATCTTTATGAACAGAGTATGTCAGTAGACATCATTCGACATTAACTAAATTCCATGAAATACATATCTACCGATGTATCTAAATTCATATGACTTTTTATGAAGATAAAGATTGTCTTTGATAAAATCCAAGAAAGATGACCATTTTAGAAATGGCCAAGTTAATGATTTTCACTGACACTAACATAGAAGTTTAAACGAGATATATAAGGAATTAGACCTTCTCGTAAATTTTTGTCAGACAATTTTTATATAATAAAATAGTTGATTCCTTTGATTATTACCAACTTGGAACATAATTTCTCCATATACCATATAAAATAGAGAAGTATAGAAATCTTCTTAGATTCTTGACCCATAATCTATGGTAGAAAAACGATTTATGAAGAGTTTGATCAAACTACAGCTTCTATTGTTAACTTTTTTGATTCAAAAATAAGAAAGTACTAACATATATTCATCTTTGGGAACAATTGTTATCATATCAATATGTTCCTAGATTTTCAGTCAAATGATGTGACGACTCTATATTCCTATACTGTGTAAAGTCATAGGTAAGAACTGATCTAAAGACTTTAAAGAAGAATTCTGGGAGGACAGATCAATTCACAACAAAATGGATTTTCTAGTTTCCAAAATCACTTTCATGACATGGATTATTAATTATGTACTCATTTTAATTAACTGTCAGAAATAATACGAAGGCACTTATTATATGGATAAAACTATAAAATAAAATTTCAATAGTTAAGATCATGAGTCAGTTGAAGTTAGACCACCTAGGAAAACTTGGAATCACTGGAGTCCCACAATAGGATGAAACAGCCGTCCAGGGCTTCCACGTTTTTCATCGTTGTCTAGCTTCAGTTGACTAAGCATCTTAACTACTAAAATTACTATCATATCTACAATAACCGCTTCTGATATTAATAAAGGAAAAGCTTTTCCACTATGTATGAATGTAATGAAATCAATATGTATGTAATTATTTTTATAAAATGTTTAATAAATTAATTGTTGTTCTTTAATATTCTAATAGATAATGACTTATCATTGGTTGATTAGTATACAAATCTCATTGTTATTTATTAACTGCTTATGCAATGGATCAGGTTAGTGAATACACAATTGTATAAACATGACGTAATTCGATATTGGGAATTTTTCAGCGATTAAAATCTTATTTCAAATTAGTTTTAGACTTAATTATTAATAGTTTCCCAGATAAATTGGGTAATATTTTTATACGTCTGTATCTAATTGTAATTGAGATATCAGAATTAGAACAGACTAATTATAATTCGGTACACTCATTGAAACTATTCTCTTAGATAAATTGCATATCCGAATTACAATCCTTAGGTTATTTTTCTAATAAATTCTACTGAGATTATAAAGAAGATTTGTAGTTTAGATGGATGATTTTAAATGAAGTTTTGTTCCCTGAACTGTTTGCTTTGGTCGTATAGCTTTTATTGTTATTCTGAACGACATCATCAACACAAACTTTAGGTAGAAGTTGATGATATCATTCAGAATAATGATGAAATTTTCACAACCAAACCATCTAACTCAGACAACAAAACTCCGCCAAAAATAATTCCCACTGTTTTCAATCAAACATATTATTTTCAGATGATTTGAAATCCCATCACATGATTAACCAAGTATCAGTTATCGTTTTATTTAACGCATCAGCAGCTTCCGTTAGTTAGAAAAAGTAATATCGCTTATAGAACTAGAAAATAATCGATGAGGATTATTAGGTGAATGAATTCTGAAATATAGACCATCATCAATTATTTGACTTGTTCATATTTTTAGCACAATTCGTGAATTTCAAAGTAGCTAAAATAATCTATGCATAACTTGTCTATTTCAAATGGGCTTTTAAGCTCACACTAATCCGTAGTGATAACCCAATTGAAATGTTTCTGTTATAAGAATATTTTGAAATAAGTAAATATGCTAATCATAAAAGGTGCTATTGAAACATGTTAAATATAAATAAACTGATAATTTAGTTATGATAAAAAGTGCTTATTGGAATGCCCCTTAATGCCTTGATAATGGCCAAGGGTGGGGAGAGACAGCTCTCCATCTCGAAATGCTCTCGCATTGCCACTCGCATACAGCCACCGTCAAGAAAGTTTTACTCAGTGCTTTCTTGCGATAGGGGTGTTGTTTACGAAATTGAGAGGGCGAAAAGCGAATTTCCGGAGCTTTGACTAGGTTGATGAATATAAAGGATCCACCTAGGGGATTTGGAAAGCCCTGGTTCCAAACCAACCAGGATCCTGAAAGAATAAATGGCATATGAATCAGTTATTGGTCATCGGCTACCATGGGACTGCATCTGCTGACGTTGCTCCACTGTCTTGTAGATCAGAACTGTAGGTCAAAGGCTCCAATTGATGTAGCGCATATATATTTGGTTCCTCCTTGTGTTCAAATAATTAAAATAAACAAATATTGTTGTAATAATTTAACGAAATATTCACATTTTTACTTTTCCTGAGAGACTTTTGTGTGACACAAGTAATTTTCTAATATAGAAATGAAAACTAATAGAATTGTTTTCTAATTATTTACATCTAATGAATGAGATTAATCATGACAGTATGCTAATCATTAAACATCAAATTGCAGGAATAATGTTTTCAATTACCGCCTAGTTTCATTATGTGAATATATTCTGGACATTATTTGACAATTGAATTTATTTTTCATTACACATATTCTACTCACTAAGAATAAAACTAATTCAGAGTGAATACATGAAAGAGGAAGAGTTAAACATCATCTCCATATTAATTAAAGTTTTAATCAGTTTAAATGATTAATCTATGAATACAATTATGATAAATGTTAGTTGTAGATTTCTGTAAACAGTGAGTGAAAACTTAAAGGGGCGTCCTCATTTTTCACTCATCCTTTTTAATTCACGCTATTTAAATCAAATATTGTTTGTGTTAGTTACCAATATTCAGTTAATTTTTAGTTATTTATTGGCATCGTAATTGCAAGAAAATGCTAAAAGAAATCATGACGAATTTTAATATAATCATGATGCTTATTGATCAAAGTTGAATCAATTTAGTGGTAAACAATTAACAGTATTAACAGAAGGGGTTTGTGGAGATTTTAGAAATTTTCACAGATTGAAATCATGAGTCAGTTCGAGCCCAGCGTGGTGCGGGATCGTGGATGCGCACTGCTGAGGAGTCCCATACTAGGACGAAACGGCCGTCCAGTGCTTCCAGGTTTTCAATGGTGGTCTAGCTTCAACTGACTCATGATTTCAATCTGTGAAAATTAACAGTATTATCAGTAACATACTATTTGAATGTGTATGGGGTGAGTGAAATGAGCTAAAGTAAGGTTCGTTATAAATGGTGAATTAATGACGGTAATAATGAAAATAAGAATAAAAACATGAATTGAATTAAATGAAAAAAATGTTACGTCTAGCTAACACTTATTTAATAGTAAGAGGTCACTTTTGTACTGGTTTAATGAACCAAAGGAGCTAGCAGGAAAATAAATTAATAGAGTCAGCAAAATAATAGAAAATTCGAAGGGATAAAAATACTCTGTAGGAAAACACTCTCTAATGTTCATATCTCTTTACTATTTTGTTTCATTATCTGACATATGAAGTTCATATAACTTTTTAATCATTAGAAATGTTATTGTTTTACTTGTTATAAATCTTTGGGTGGGGTGGAAAAATTTCCAACAGAATGGTCTTATTCAAATGTATTAACTGGACCGGAAACATGGAATCAACACTATAGAAATATGTGTTCGGGTTATTATCAATCACCAATTGATTTGAAATCAGATACATCTATACTTGATTCACGATTAAAAACTGTGGTGATTTATCGAAACACATCAGTTGCTGAGACCACTACAATTACAAATAATGGTCACTCAGGTGAGTTCATGTTTTTTTTTTCATTTTTCTATTAAATTACACTTTTGTTTTATCATTTACAACATAATAATAGAATAAAATAAACTTCTTGTCTATATATACACATTTTTCTTTACTATTTATAAGTTTGCACATCCTTTATATTATATCATCGTTTGAAGGATTCATGATTTTTAGATTGATTACAGCTGAAGATAGTAATAATTCAATTTTGGTGAACCGAGATCTGCCTCCAGTTGTATCGTATGACTGCTATGGTTATTGAGATTTATGTGTCGTCGATCCTCGTATAGAATTATTGACTTAATCCACTCTAGTGTATAGCGGAATTCAATAAGCCAAATACGAGTATGGATTTTCAAATACCTATATTTTGTACACTCAGTGATCTGGGCAAGCAATCAAAAAAATGAAGCGAAGGAAAAAAAGGGAAGAGAGCGAAGCGAAATGACACTCAGTGGAAAAGGTGTGTAAGGCAACTTCATTTAATCAAGCGGTAATCAATATTTATAGTTACACAAAAATAAGCTACAGACATGTGATAAGTAGGATAAGATGTGCACACAAACGCTCATATAAAAGCATTCAGGGTTAATAAGTGAATAATTAACAAGATTAAAACGTGGCTCTAGAAGAATGGATAGATTGATCTGTCCAGAAGCTTGATTAAGGTATATGAGCTAAACATAGTGACCGACACTACACAATATTTCATACTTTGATGGCAAAATGTGTTAGTTATACTTTGAATTATGTTTAGAAATCGATTAAATTACTCGTGAATTAAAGAATAAATTGTTCCTTAAACAATAATACTTCATCAAAAAAGAAAAAAAACCGTATTTGTTTTATTCCCTCAGTAGTTTACAAACACATTGTGTTTTTTTTCCTTGAGAAATAAAGAGTCTATCCATCGGATGACAAAATACTTATATGCAAGTTTGTCTAATATTAAGAAATATGAAAATAGATTCCATGAATAGTAAAATGAATCTGACATGAAAATAATTTGGTTAATGTTTTCCGCTTCATTAACATATCTACAAAATTTGCTTAAAATGCAAATCCGATACATGATATTTCAATCAGTCTTATATTCCATTGATAGAAAGCCGACTAATTGTACATCTTTGATTCATATTCATTAACATATTGGAGCATTTTATAAAAATGACATGGTTTTCAAGAAAATCATTTAACTAACTCGTAATAATTAACGTGGCCTATAAATATCATTGATTTTAACAGCTAAATATATGCAACTATCATACAATGAAATAACATTGTCATTTATTTAAATATAACAATCCATCAATTAAATGTTTAAATGAACACAGATTATAATGACTGACACTAGCACTTAATGTTTTATTTGAAAAAGATTTTCAGTTCTAAACTGAACTAAAAGTACTTCATGTTCTAGTATACAACACGTGTATAATAAAGCTTAATACTTTTCTCCTGATAAATATATGCATTGACTGATAGATAGTTGTTTTAAATCAGACTAATAGTGTAGCTAAACAAGCGCTTAACCACTAAACCACTGAGATAGCTGGCATTCAACGGTGTTAATGTCTAACTTGAACTAATCCGTGAAAATGAGCGACACATTCACCATTGTCATCACTGAGTTACTATCTCACATCCTCATAAATCCAATTATAGTGATAATAGGTTAGTGATTTACTATTTATATATAATGATAAAAAAACAGATATATTCGATCACTTAATAAAATGATATTGAATTTGTATACTTAGAACCGATAAACTTGTTTGTCTGGTGATTTAAAAGAAATAGAATCAACATCAATTGAGTTGTTTGGTTGTATTAACTCAATTGCTTAGTATTCATTAATACATTTAATGCTAGAAAACATAGAATTTATTGACTATGTTTTGTGACTTATACAATCTTTTATGTATCATATATTTGTCTTACTAATTTAGCTGATGTTACATTTTCACAAAACACTTGGTTTATATCATTTGATGGATTACGTGACTTTAAATATGAAATTGCAAAAATGCATTTTCACTGGGGTAATACTGATGATCGTGGATCTGAGCATACTATTGATGGTGTTAGACTTCCTTTAGAAGTAAGTCTGTATGTAAATTATTGTCATTTGATTTTAACATTCTTTTTCACATACATCAAGAGTGAAGAGAGTACATTATGAATGTTTTGAAAGTGCTAATTGCTGACGAACGATTTTAGATGTGATCATATATCTCTAAGAACCAGATTGATAATTGTTCATGAAGATCTAATGAGTTAAATGAATTAAAAAGTATATTCATTTGTGCGAAACGACACAATTACGTGCAACAGCTTAATCACGAAACAAATCCGATCAAAGTCTATTGACAATATGAACAAATAAAGGTTATAAGTAATTTGGTTTCTTCACCAGTGAATAAACGTGAAAAATGGCAACCAGCCTTCATTCTTATCAGTCATGTTTAAATATACTGTTTTTATTCTTAACACTAATTGTAGGGACATATTGTATCTTTTCGAAAAGAGATGTATCCTTCACTCAATGAAGCTATCGGTCGACCAGGTGGACTTGCTGTTCTTGGTATTATGCATAATATTGTTGAATCAATGAAATCTGACCAAACAGTGTTCAAGGCATATAACAATTTTTCTGGTGTATTGAATTCACAATTCGCTCCTCCAAATGTTTTGAATGTTGATAATATGAATTTATCGTTAATTCTAAGCTTCTTGAACCCTAGTCGTTATTTTCGCTATTTTGGTTCACTGACAACTCCACCATGCACAGAAAATGTTCTTTGGACTGTTTTTATGGATCCAGTGCCAATTACACGTGAACAGGTAATCATAATTCTACGTTAACCGAATTAATTTGAGTGTCTCTGTTTTCAAATGAACCAGACAATACTTAAATCAAATTCATTTCATTGAAATAGATGTAATATTATGTTTTTTGCCATAAATTTATTGACATAAATTAATCAATAACTAATTAGTAACGTCATCCTGTTAATCTCAACTCTTTCAAACAAGTTTCAATGTACTCACTAATTTGATTCACTCAACTTTAGTGGGTTTTTTCTATCCTGTTCAAGGTTGACAGTAACCGATGGAGGTACTGGAATACTTATTTTGTGATAGATGATGCTGATTACTTAAGTTTATTAAAAATTATCTGAGAATCAGTGTAGTGATCTGTATTTATTACGTGTTTGGATTTCAGTAAACTAGTACGTTCTGCTTTAAATCGTGAATATGTTCACCTTATTTGAAACAATGTCTGAGAAGCAGAAACATCCCACGAACCATTATATACTGAGAAAGAGCCAACCATCACCTAGTAGAGTGACTTACTTATGTCATCCAAATTCAAACAAATTAGTCTAGATGGTTAATAAAACGTAGAACAAATTAAACTTCACTTCGTAAACAAACATATACGAAGAATATAGAAAACATTCAACAAATATTTTGTTATAATCAGACAAGGGTTTTGTGGAGGTTGTAGTAATTTAACAATTGAATTCATTAGTCTATTGAAGCTAGACCACCATGGAAAATCTGGGAGCTATGGATGGCCGTCTCATCCCAGTATGGAACTCCTCTGCATTGTGCATCCACAATCCCGCCCCGCGAGACTCGAAACCAGGACCCATCGGTCTCGAACTGCTGAGGAGTTCTATACTAGGGTGAAACAGCCATCCAGTGCTTCCAGGTTTTCCATGGTATTCTAGCTTCAGTTAACTCATGAATTCAATTATTAAAATATTTTGTTGTTCACTTTGCAAGAATATCAGTGTTCCGTAATAGATGGTGAAATGCTTACGAGATTCCTATGAAGTATCAAATAAATTATATTTTATGATTGATAAAAATGCAAGACCTGTTTCCACTGTTCTAGAAAATTAATTTTTAATTTTCAGTACTTAGCAACATCAAAAAGCAACTAGATTTATGAATACTTCAACGATATAAATATAATTAAATCTATAAGATTCATTATATTGTGATCACCCAATGAATCATTTCATTCCAAAAATACAGTGAATACGTTTCATGCCAACAACATTAAAATCTTAGTAATTTAAAAATCTTCAAAGCATGTTCAGGAATATGGAGCACTAAAGTGGATGATAATTTTCGGTTACTTCTTGCTTAGATTCAACAGTAATATAATTTAAAATTATAAAATAAAATACAAAATATTAAAGTTTAATTTTTATATTATAAATTGAAAATGTCAATTTCTTATAGAAAGAAAACAATCATTTGCCCTAATACTGTTTATTTTATTCGTCAAATCATATTTTTGTTCTACCATTACCGACATTATTAACGTCATTTACAATATACTCTCTTGAATAGACTAATTCTTACAGTAAAATAAAGTTTGCCTTATATATTAGCAAACCTTAAACAATCTAAGCATTGACATAAATGTGTCACGGTTCATATATATTCACATTTGATGTCCGGTTGTTAAGAGAGTATAAACATGGTGAAAGTTAAAAGAATTAATATAGCACATAGATGGTGGTGAGCAGTGAAATTCAGAGTGTGCGTTTCGTCCTATCTGGCACTCGTCAACTGGATATGCCAGCATCACAAAGTTGTTCTTGACTTCGACACTCGAACCCAGTATTAAGACTCAGTATCTAAGTGAATAATACGATAGCGTTTGAAATGAATGGTACTGGGTTTGAGTCCCGGAGTAAACATTAACTATCGGGTGCAGGTACTCCTGGTTGATGTGTCCCAGATAAGGATTAAACACGCGTCCTAGCTTCCACTGCCAGCCACCAACCACTTCTGCTTAAAATGCTTGTGATTTACGGCAATATGGAGGCAATCCGAATAGGATGAACATATACCAATAAGAGACTGATCAATCGCAGTCCTAAACATCAATGGGAAGATTCAACTTAACAATACAATATAAATTTAATATAGCAGTGTTATTAATTATAATACAAAATTAAGCAGAGTGAATTCAGTTGAGAAACATTAAATAAAATGGAAAAAATTCAAAGTATGATATGATTATAATGCATGTGAAAAAGATAAAGATTGAATAAATATATGCCATTTTATTTATCCCTGAGTCATATCATTTAAAACTTTCATCCGCTAATATCTGCCATTATATAAATTCTAATTAGGAAATTTGCAGTTCCCAATTTGTCTTAGTCAATAGCCTCATAGACTTATTATAACCAAATCACAACCTATACATGTGTTGTTTATCATTTAACGATTAAAGGGATTTACACCTTAATCTTGGCTAAACATGTCAATAAACTTCTCAACATGTTTTATTACATGACTATTTATTAGTTTTTGAATAATATTTGTATTGTACTGTATGTGACTTTTTCCAGATTAATCTATTTCGTAGTTTACCTTATGGTCCAAATGAAAAACAAACTACTATGGGTGATAATTTTCGTCCTATTCAACCATTAAATCCATCCGATACACTTGCACCACGTTCTCTATATCGAGCTACAGCATCAAGTCTTTCATTATTAACTTTACCAGGTTTATTATGTATCATGTTGACCAGTCAACTTACTGTGATATTTTTTTAATTCATTTAGTTCAAAACTATTTATGTTTAAGATATTTAACTTCTTCTAGACCCAAATTATTGCGCTTTCATTCTTTGAATTAAAAACAAAAGAGGGTGTTTACCCATACTACTTTATAGAGTATATTTTCTTATTTTATTTTTCTTCTTTGTTTTTTTCTCTAAATTTCTCATATTTTGTAAATAACTTAGTTGGCCATATTCCAAAATATTTTGGAGATTTGTTATATTTGGCTTGATTTCACATCATAATGTTTATTTTATTAGATTAATATGATTATGCCATATACATATATATATATATATCTGTAAGAGTTCCTCGGTCAATAACCTCACTACTTACTGTCTACTACTTCTAGCTCTTAATTAGATGGCTAATATTTCCCTTTTCAAGATTCAAGATGAAGTGGGAAAAAAATATTATGTCTTCATGATTCATTCATTGTAGTTAATTATCAGTGAATAATAAAAAAGAAATGATATTTCATCTAATGACTTTATTCTGTTGAGATGTTGTAATTCTCTTTTATTTTTATCTGAAATTTGGTTACGAAGCATAATATAAGCCAATACAATAGGTAGGAGGAAAGTATATTTATTGTAAGAAGTTACAAGGTATTTACATAATAATTATACATAGCCATCATTCGTCCATTGGGATCTTTCGATATGTTCTGCAATCTCAAATTTTTTCTCGAGTGGTCTCGAATTATCTGACAATATTGGGCTTTCTATGTACTGAAGCATTTCGCTTTGATGTCATGTTTTGCTACACACTACTTGATAGCAATCTTGTGAGTAGTGTTCACTACAACACAATTAAAGATATAAAATGCAACAAATTTACTGAGAGCGTATAAAGTAACAATTCTCTAAATGAAGATTATATTTTTTAAGAGTATGAAGAGCTGTACTGTTATAATTTTAGTCTCCTTACTGGTAGTGTACACATAAAGCCTAAAATCGGACTTACTCGAGAACCTTCACATTAAGTGGTAATAATGGTACTTCTATACCGATTCGTTCAAATCTAGTCTGTAAGATTTCCAATTTCAGGTGATTCGCTATGTAAATGTGATAGCTTACTACTTTTCAAGATCGTCCCCATGGCAAATTCAAGACTCTTGAATGAAAATGTGAGTGTGGATCATTGAATTTTGCCTCGAGGATTTGGAGATTTTTTGATCTACAAGACACTTAAAGAAATGTACAGTTGTAGACGAGCGCAATAAACAACTTCATATCTGACGGTAGTCTTCTAGTACAAAAACTCTCACTTTGCAAAAGTTTTAATAAGTGTTTTGGAGAACAAGGTTCTGAACATTCTCACTATATTGAAGTGAACTCAATGTTATCATTTCTATATGTAAATATTTTTATCTCCAGGTTTCACCGATGACCCTATTTTATGCGTAGGCATATGATTCTCTTTTCACTTTATGCCAAGAAATGGTTCTTTCGGTATTTTAGCCAAAATATTAAGTTTCATCAAGAACTGAAATTATAGCCAATACAAATCAATGGTTCTTTATAAAGTGTTACCTATGAGTCTGAGATTAGTCATACTAATTTAAGACCACCTAATAGGAATCAGTCAATTCACAGTTATAAATTCATTAATTGCGCGATCGCCTATGCAATCAATGTTACGTGATTTAAGTATTTCACTTAAAGTTTACTGTTCTTACGATTTATCTGAAGTATCATAACTAGAGATTGATTTATAAAACCGCTTGTAGAATATAAAACCTTTAGATTAACGTATGAAGGTTATGAAGAAACAATAAGCGTTTCAAAGCAACATACAGTAAACACATGAACTATGAGATAAGCATAAGAACCACTGAAAGACGCTATCTGATGATCAACCATTTTATTTAAGTATGTGTCCTCTTAATAGTAGTATTCATCCACGGTTCTACAGACATTGGTTGAGATTCTAATTTCTGACTACTTTGGGATCACATTTGAATCAAACACAGCATATAATTGATATGTCACTTATTGCTACTGAAGAACAAGTTAATCTTTTGTTATGTCATTATTCAAATCATCCAATAAATTCAAGATCATTTACAGAAGACAAGTTTAATTTACTCTGTATATTTTCGAGTTAATCAATTAGCATCGGTAGGATGGTACATACATTTTCCACGTAATACACACGAGTTTTATTACAGATATAAAAAATATATCACAGGAATGTTCTGTATTATCCGCGTACATAGAGCTATGAAGCTGAAAAGGGAAAGTCGAGACAAAAAACAGTCAACTATCGAAAAAACATTTTTCCTTAATTTTAAATGTACTTGTTACGTACAATAACTTTTTCCATATGTAATTTAGTATCTAATTATATTGAGATATGCATGAAATATTTCAGTAACAGATGCTTTGTGAGAGTTGTTAAAGAATACATTATTTCTATAGTAGTATTCCTTGATGTAAGAAGACAGAGTAGTCACCGCAACCCTTAAACACGGATTTCATGCTACTTTTGTACTAATCAGTAAATGTTGTCTGAGATTTTAGAAAAAAAGATGCTCCTGTAATAATAGAAAGTTAATTCCCTCAGTATCATTGTCAATAATTATAGCACTCAACGATTACAACTAATTAACCATGAACTCGTAATTAATGTCACGTCTAATAACCAGTGCTGTTTGTATTTTCGCACTGAATTAGTCTCCACTTTACTGAATACTGAATTTTATTTGATTATCCTACCAAGGAAAGTTTGTAAGTATTCGAGTACTGAATAATAAATTTATCGAATGAGAATTAAGCCAACGGTGATATACAGAGGAGATAAATCTTTTGGTTAACATTTGTGAACACTATGGAGAACGATAACAAAATAATCAAAAAAATATAACTACATACAAAATCTCACTATAAACCATAGTTAGGATAGTTTGACATTAGAGCACTATCAGTTTTCAGCAAGCAAAACTGCTTTTCCTCAGAAATAGTCAAAGCCTACGTAAATGAGTCCAAACTAAGGTTGAACATGATACTGTAAGACCGTATGACAAGAATATTAACATTGAGGCTAATACACCAGTGAGCAGCGATGGATGGTGACTAGCAGTAAAATACAAGATGGGCATTTCGTCTTATTTGGAACTCGTCAACTGGGTGTGATTGTATCCCATACTTATTGTTCACTCCAACGTTCGAACCCAGGACCCTTCGCTCCAAACGTCATCGCGTTATCAATTTAGCTACTGAGGCCAGATAGCCACTACCTTATGCAACGAGTTGAAGTTTAATTCATTTTTGTATTAGTTGTCTTAATCTTCCTACTGATGTCTAGGAATGAGATTGATCAGCCTCTTATTGACATATGCTCATCCTGTTCGAATTGCCTCAATTTCGTCTTAAGTCACAAGTAGATACATCCAAGTAAGAAGTCGCAAATAGGACAAAACGAGCATCTTGAATTTCATTGCTTATAATGCTAGTGAATTAATGCAATCCGAACAGAACATACATATGCCAATAAGAGATTGATCAATTGCAGTCCTAAATATCGATGGGAACATTTCAACAACCAATTCAAAAACGAACGAACATATCAATACTCAAAATAAACATGTCAAATACAGAACAATTAGTTATTGATATAATCGAGCCTTTTAAATGATAAAGATATAATTTTGACTTAGTAACTAAATAAAAAATGATGCATTTCAATATTTTGTAAACATTAACAATAGAATAAATTGAATAATATAGAATTCAATGAATCAAATTAATCAATGGATAGTAAATAACAACAATATGATACAATTGATTTTGGTTCAGAAGGTAACAAATCAAATATCGATTAATTTAACATTAAACATCCCTTGATTCAATAATATTCGTTACATTTATATATTTTAACCATGAATTCAATGAGATTAGTTTTTGACTTTTACATAAAATGTCTACTCAAAAATGTAATATTCACTTAATTGAAAGTTATTGCATAATCATAATTTTTTGTTGAGTTAATAAAATTTCTCAGGATAAAAAAAACAAACAAAAATATAAGATGAGATTATAATTTATGGACGACCTTTTAGACCTTGAGCACGTCCACCTAATAACTGGTGCTAAATGAGAGTTATAAACCATTATGATGAATTAAAATTAAGATAGTTAGAGTTAGGAATTAGATTTAAGGTTTTCATCACGAACTAACATCAGGTATAATGTCGAAACTCATTTTAACCAAATGAATTTTGCTCCACAATCCAAAACCAGTTATCTTACATCCGATTGGTTCGTCCATAAATTATAGTTTCACCTTTAGTATAAATTAATGTATACCTTTGCATGGAAAAATGTAAATAGTTTTGATGAATGAAAATATGATAAATCAATTTGGAACGTTTGTTGGCTAAAATAACAATTATGTAACATAAATAAATTTCAAATTCAATCAAGTTAACATTGAATACTCTCTGTATGTTGATCATTTGAATTGTTTTTGAAAAATCCATTCATAGAAGTATCCATAACTTATCATCTTGACCTTCAAAATTACAGATGACTAATTAACTATCTTGTATAGATTTCACCTTCGAATTTTCAACATTCTGTATACTTTAAAGATGTTTACGAAATTCTAATGATTGGTATTTTAACAATTATTCAGTGAAACTAGGAAGTTAGTATACATTACATCACGGAAACTAAAATGTAGTTCTAGAATCGCTCGTATAATGTTGACAGAATTTCATCTAATCTTTATTAGCATGTATGAATCATGTGAAGACTGTCTCGATAGTTCCATTTTTCAGAAACTTTCATAGAATAGATAAATTTTTTGGCTGGTAGGGAAAGCCAGGACTCGCGTTTCGACCGAATTGGGTTAGGTGCTCGTACATCCAATGTCGATATTAACATCATGAATTGAACCTGGCACCCTTAGCTTCAAACGCCCAACACATTAATCATTCAGCTACTGAATCTAGAAAGCCACTCAGACATGATATTTATATAATGATTAGAAAAGGTTTCAGTTATCGCTTTGCTGACAATCGTAACGGGATTCCAATCAGTCTTTTTATTAAAATATTTGCACACCATGAATATAACACGTTATTCATTTGAAGCGAAATATACTGGTTACGATTCTTGGTGTACAAATGAACACTGGCATCCAAAGTCTCCTAGCTAGCTACTATGGTATAGATCTTTTGACTTATACATGAATGCTCACAAGCAAACGATTACTCTCTACATTTATGATTTCACTTTATTTGTTACTAAGTATGTGAGGAAAACCAGTTTTGGTGAAATCCGAAAACAAAACTAAAAACTTCCATTTCTCAGCTAATCAGTAAACTGATTAATATACCTTTATATATATATATATATATATATATATATGAATGGGGTTGATGTCTTTATTTTCCCATGTTGACATATTTATACCAGTTATATTTCGTCCGATTACAATATATTCTAAATATAATATAGGTTTAATAACCTGCTACTAGACA